CCCCCCCCCCCCGTGCCCCCATACCCTTGTCTCATTCTGATATATCGCAAGACAACATGTTGTTGACGGAATCTTCTCTCTTCGATCAGGTATCGACCTTTGGCTTTCACCCCCCTCAATGATGGTAATCACCTTTACCAAACGCGAGGCGCAGCGTAGAATTATTTCACTGACAGATTCGTGGGGACTGAATCTTGTTTTTAACATCTGACTTTTGACCCATAAAAATCTGCATATTAAGTCACGTGGTCTGTTTTTTTTCCAGACTGGACCCAATACCCAACTCAATTTGAGGGGGGGGGGGGTGAGATCCTAGTCCAAGAGATGAAGTCGGAGCACAGTGGCCAACTTACTTGGTCGTGCAGGTAGACAACTTAGTCATACAACCAGTTCAGCATCAATTATCAAAATGTAAAAAAAAGCCATCTATATAAATATATATTTAAATTCAGACCCAAAAATATAAAACCACACCGACCATAACCCCACCCCCCTAAAAAAACCACTGCCCTTCTAATCACTGCACCACTCATCCCTGCGCCACCCATCACTTCTACACCCATCACTGCACCCCGCATCACCCATAACACCCCCTCCCCCACCTTCCAAACCCCTGCTCCACCCATTCCTCAACAAAGCTCGTGTTTACTTCCTTCACTCACTACAGTTACAGTCGCTGGGTGACTGGGTGTGGCTGGGCGGAAGTTTGCCCGGATGAGCAATCAATAAACGGAAATTTCCGTTGATCAGAATTACACTATCTGATGCCTATTAGAAAAATGTTACGAATATGATATACCAGTGCATCAACTCTATGTGGATTATTATATGGCCTAAAAAAAAAGATCTAAAATCAGCTGGGAATCCAAGCATGAAAACGAATAACATCGGTTTGGTCTGAGTGGAAGGAAGTGGTGAAGCAGACTAAAGCCCTAGATGGGTCGTAGCACTACCGGGATGGATGATTACAAATAAAATGGCGCTAATAAAAAGTTTTTCTGTAATTTTTTTTCTTCCTGTGACTTTTCCCCCCTACAATCAGCCACACTTGTCTATGGACTCGAGTGCAGCTAGTGCACTTATTGACAGAGGGAATGTGTTATAAAGATTGATGAAAATAAACGTTAAAATTAACTGACATAATTTTTTTTTTTTTTTTTTTTTTGTGTGGGTGGAGGTTTAAATTACCCTCCTCTTTCCCATTTTGGATAGTCATAGCCTCAGTGGCGTAGCGAGGGTGTTTGGCGCCCGGGGACAAGATTCGCGGCCGGGGACAAGATCCATTTTTTAGCGCCCCTTTTTCTTTTTTTCAGCTCTCAAACCCATTATTTTCATCAATAAAATAATATCAGAGCACATTTTGGCGCTCCTAACTAGCTGGCGCCCGGGGGACATCTGTCCCCCCTACCCCCACCACGCTACGCCTCTGCATAGCCTAGATCCGCCTATGAGCGACAGAGTTATGGACTAGTGGTATATTTGGATATGAAGCAAATGCCCCCTCCCCCACCAAAATTACTAAAATCTCAATAAGGCAGATCGTAATTTTCATATCGGATATCGATCAATCGATTAGACTAGACGCATACCAGGGAGGGTGTTGTTGCAGTGCTTTAACTTTTAGTTTCGGGGTAACTCTTAATGAGTAATTCTTACTTTTAGACAAATTAGGTCCGTTAAGACTTGCACACAGACCTTTGCACAGCATACGTGACACACAGACCTTTGCACAACACACGTGACAACAGAGCCTTGCACACCACACGTCTCATGGACTACTTTATAACAGCACACGAGACATAAAAACCTACTGGCGCAATCAGGTTTAGAGAGTAGTACGTGTTCTTTGAGACTCTGATATCCCATGTTGGTGCCCCGGCGCAAGCAGGTTTAGAGAGTAGTACGTGTTCTTTGAGACTCTGATATCCCATGTTGGTGCCCCGGCGCAAGCAGGTTTAGAGAGTAGTACGTGTTCTTTGAGACTCTGATATCCCATGTTGGTGCACAGGCGCAATCAGGTTTAGAGAGTAGTACGTGTTCTTTGAGACTCTGATATCCCATGTTGGTGCACTGGCGCAATCAGGTTTAGAGAGTAGTACGTGTTCTTTGAGACTCTGATATCCCATGTTGGTGCACCGGCGCAAGCAGGCTTAGAGAGTAATAAGTGTGTTTACTTTGAGACCCCGACATCCCATTCTGGTGCACAGGCGCAAGCAGATGTCGTCATGTTCATTCTTAAAGTCATCAAAGAAACGTTACATCATAATCTGATGTAAGAGTTTACAAACTTTCGTAAGCCACCTGGAAAAGAAAAAAAAAAAAGACAGGAGGGGCGCTTCGCACTGCTCCGCTCCCTTCCTCAACACCAGCCCCACCCCCACCCCCACCCCCCAAGCCTTGCGACGCTTCACTCAATAACATAAACACGCAGGTAAGTAGAGGTCAGTCGTTAGCAGAACTCTCTTTGTTAAGAGCGGTAGAGGGGGTGGGGGTGGGGTGAGCTGGAGTTGTATAAACAACTGACTGGATCTTCCTCACCCCCCCCCCCCGTGCCCCCATACCCTTGTCTCATTCTGATATATCGCAAGACAACATGTTGTTGACGGAATCTTCTCTCTTCGATCAGGTATCGACCTTTGGCTTTCACCCCCCTCAATGATGGTAATCACCTTTACCAAACGCGAGGCGCAGCGTAGAATTATTTCACTGACAGATTCGTGGGGACTGAATCTTGTTTTTAACATCTGACTTTTGACCCATAAAAATCTGCATATTAAGTCACGTGGTCTGTTTTTTTTCCAGACTGGACCCAATACCCAACTCAATTTGAGGGGGGGGGGGGTGAGATCCTAGTCCAAGAGATGAAGTCGGAGCACAGTGGCCAACTTACTTGGTCGTGCAGGTAGACAACTTAGTCATACAACCAGTTCAGCATCAATTATCAAAATGTAAAAAAAAGCCATCTATATAAATATATATTTAAATTCAGACCCAAAAATATAAAACCACACCGACCATAACCCCACCCCCCTAAAAAAACCACTGCCCTTCTAATCACTGCACCACTCATCCCTGCGCCACCCATCACTTCTACACCCATCACTGCACCCCGCATCACCCATAACACCCCCTCCCCCACCTTCCAAACCCCTGCTCCACCCATTCCTCAACAAAGCTCGTGTTTACTTCCTTCACTCACTACAGTTACAGTCGCTGGGTGACTGGGTGTGGCTGGGCGGAAGTTTGCCCGGATGAGCAATCAATAAACGGAAATTTCCGTTGATCAGAATTACACTATCTGATGCCTATTAGAAAAATGTTACGAATATGATATACCAGTGCATCAACTCTATGTGGATTATTATATGGCCTAAAAAAAAAGATCTAAAATCAGCTGGGAATCCAAGCATGAAAACGAATAACATCGGTTTGGTCTGAGTGGAAGGAAGTGGTGAAGCAGACTAAAGCCCTAGATGGGTCGTAGCACTACCGGGATGGATGATTACAAATAAAATGGCGCTAATAAAAAGTTTTTCTGTAATTTTTTTTCTTCCTGTGACTTTTCCCCCCTACAATCAGCCACACTTGTCTATGGACTCGAGTGCAGCTAGTGCACTTATTGACAGAGGGAATGTGTTATAAAGATTGATGAAAATAAACGTTAAAATTAACTGACATGATTTTTTTTTTTTTTTTTTTTTTGTTTTTTTTTTAAATTTTTTTTAAAATAAACCTTAAAATTAACTGGCTTGTTTTTTTTTTTTTTTTTTTTTTGTGTGGGTGGAGGTTTAAATTACCCTCCTCTTTCCCATTTTGGATAGTCATAGCCTCAGTGGCGTAGCGAGGGTGTTTGGCGCCCGGGGACAAGATTCGCGGCCGGGGACAAGATCCATTTTTTAGCGCCCCTTTTTCTTTTTTTCAGCTCTCAAACCCATTATTTTCATCAATAAAATAATATCAGAGCACATTTTGGCGCTCCTAACTAGCTGGCGCCCGGGGGACATCTGTCCCCCCTACCCCCACCACGCTACGCCTCTGCATAGCCTAGATCCGCCTATGAGCGACAGAGTTATGGACTAGTGGTATATTTGGATATGAAGCAAATGCCCCCTCCCCCACCAAAATTACTAAAATCTCANAGGGGGGGGGGGGGGTGGAGACACAAGCTAATGACTTAATGTCACGGTGGTGACATGCACAAAAGGGAGTGTTCAGTTCGAACTGGTTACGGCCCGCTGCGGACAACTCCGGTTCATAGTCCAATAGACAACAAGCCTGCCCCGTTTTTTAATGCTATTTTTGGCCAGCCAATCACAAATGAGAATTTAGAAATATCCCTCCGCGGGGTAAGCGCGAGGATCAATCTGCGTGCATTATAAAATAAGTGGTAAAATGAATTCTTTCACAATATGAAAGGTGTATTTCAGGAGTTAACAAACCAACCGTCGAGTTCGACACCCAGCTTTAAAGCATTTCTACTTACTCAATGCCGGAAACAAACACGATTGAAAACAAGGACATGGAGGACGAGTAAGTGATAGATTTAAAGCAATAGTATTATGTATATTTTTACTTTCTTGTTTTGTTTACACATTGCCGTCTCATCTCTGCTGTAGAATTAAATTTATACATAATTTAATGTATAGTTTTAATACCTTACAATATTAGCTAATTTAAAACTGGATGAGGAAACATTAATTTTAAATAGTTAAATGTTATTTTCATTTAAAATCTATTAGATGTTTGATTAATATAATACAGACGACGATAAACACTATTCACTACACTATAGTAGGGCTTTAAAAAATATGCTGGTTCACATTTGTACAAACAAACGTTAAATGGTCTTTAGAACGAAGCGTATGACTTTTCCGCACCTCTCAAGGCCAGGGGGAAAGTGGGGGAAAATTTGGCCCCACCACCGAAGTAAATGGATGTATTTATTTCTTAGCGACTCGAGTCGTGCTTTTACGCCGTACTTAAAAATTTATTTAGTAGGCAACTAGGTCTAGTTCTGTTAAATTATTTAATCTAAAGATGTATTTAGTAGGCAACTAGGTCTAGTTCTGTTAAATTATTTAATCTAAGTCATCGTGATAACATATATTATATTTATGGAAAAGAAACAAACAAAACAATGCCTTTCCTTTTGTTAACAAAGTGCGTTGTCCTTTAGCCTTCAGACTTGACACTGCTGTTGGCAGAGTTCTACGCGTCCAAATATCAGGTCACTTAAAAAAAAAAATTGTATTTTTTTACTTGAATATGTCAGCGACTTGCGCTGATAACTCTTTTGTGCGTATCGCCCGAGATGAAGAAACTCCAAAGCAACCTTAATCAACATGAAGTATGATTGGGTGCGATCTAAATTTACTATCCAATAGAATGATGTTAAATAAAGACGAACGGTTCGCGGCTGGTAAGTCCGCCAAAAAAAAAAAGAATAACGAACAATAATTTATTTATTTCTCTGTATTTTAATTATTTTTCTAAAAGATTTTTTTTTTTAGACCAGATACAAATTTACTAGTGTGCTCTGGATATAATTTTTGAGTGCCTGTAGAAGTTTTAGCGGTTAACTTGTGCGGCGCAATAACTCAGCGAGTGTAATTTAAGGAACACCCACCAGCTGTGTTGAATGCTGGGTGGTGGGATAGAAATAGGCCTGCACGAGGTTTTATCGGCATTATTTACACAAAGATCTCGGCAGCTAAACCGCGGCTTGCGAGCTTGTCATTGTCCCATTTTTGACTCTTCGAAGATGGTTTGGCTCTTAAGAGTAGCAAGGTAAATAATTTTCTTTGTTCCGGTTTCGCAGAAAGCCGCATTGTTTATTTTCTTGTTCAAGCCGGTGTCGTCCTGGTTGACAAGTGCGTTTTCGTTGCCACGCCTTTTTCCCCCCGACTGTGACAGTTAAATGGAGGCTGAGTTATGAGAAGCAAAATGTAGTGACCGGCGTCTCGACCGGCGTCTCAACACTCTTGGTTATATAATAACCCTTAAAATGAAATTGCTACGACGGTCGTGTAACTGTTACATATATTTTAACTGAAACTTTTATTGCGGTATAGGCCTATGTGTAGTGTGTTACTGCGCATTGTTAACTTTAAAAAAATGAGTAGGCCTAGGGGTGTTACTATTTTGTTCACTACAGACAACAGTAGTAGGGTTAGAAGAGAATATGTCGGTGCAGGGGTTAGTCAATTATTTTGATATTGTAATTGAAAAGCGTTTTCTTTCCTGTATTGTGTGACAAATAATCGCACATTTTGTTTTTGATTGATTTTTTACCGAGGCTTCAACTTCAATTTTATCACTGTGACTGATTAGCCTTGAGCAGAGGCGTAGCGAGGGTGTTTGGCGCCCGGGGACAAGATCAATTTTAAAGCGCCCCCTTTTCTTTTTTTCAACTCTCAAACCCATTATTTTTACCAATAATATATCAAAGCACATTTTGGCGCCCCTAACTAGCTGGCGCCCGGGGACATCTGCCCCCCCCTCGCTACGCCTCTGGCCTTGAGGCGTTCACTATGAGTATGATCATGCTGATGCCGTGCAATTTCACGTGCAAAAGAGTTTAACATTAATTTTGTTGTAACCCCTAGAGCCTTAAAACAAAATAAAGTAGTAACAGTTGGATTTGAACCCTTATCAGACTTATCTTGCTTCATACGTGGCTGACCCCGCCTAGGTCAATATGGTCTGAGTACTTAGCCATTAGGGCTCCTGGCCCTGGCGTTACATTACATTGTCAACAAATAAGATGTTTCATTTTTTTTTTGTCTTCCTAGTATTTCCTCATTCTTTTTTTTTAAAGTAATAATGTAGCAATTAGGATAAGTAGCCAGCCATCGTCAATCGATAAATGAGTGTTGCCTGTCCATTCAGTATTGTCAATCAATGAGTGTTGCCTGTCCATTCAGTATTGTCAATCAATGAGTGTTGCCTGTCCATTCAGTATTGTCAATCAATGAGTGTTGCCTGTCCATTCAGTATTGTCAATCAATGAGTGTTGCCTGTCCATTCAGTATTGTCAATCAATGAGTGTTGCCTGTCCATTCAGTATTGATTTAAGCTCAAGCTATCCTTGCATCACCATGAAGTGTATGAAGTGTATGAAGTGTATGAAGTGTATGAAGTGTATGAAGTGTATGCGTTATTGTTATTGTTATTGTTATTGTTTAAAATCCTGAACTGTGGTCATTGTGGAGATAATGCTGACAAAGCCAGAACACTTTTCTAGTCATCTGAAAGAGGATGAATGAATGTAATATAATAATTTCTCAGCCGCCCCATTCCAAAACTAAAGACTAATAACAGAAAATATTTTTTTTTTCTTTTCAAAGTAAGGATAAATAGAAGTAAATATAATAAAGGGAAATAACTTGTGCTAAAGTACAGAGTCCAATCCAGTAAATTAAAAGTCAATAATTTTTAACACTTCTGCCAGATGTTAGAAATACAGTGGCGTTTCAGACTGAGCTAAGACTGGACTCACTTTGTTGGAGGAGTAGCCAGTCTAAAATATCATTACTTGAATTTAAAAAAACTTCTTTTAATTTTTTAAATTTCAGTTTATCCTCCAAGATTCTGAAAAATGCAGCTGATCAAATTGGAAGATCGAATCTCATTCAGGCAGCATCACTATCAAGCACAAACACCCTCTTTGACCAAGCCCGAGATGCAAGGGTCATCTATGGGGACATCAACGATCTGCCAAATAAAGTGCGTCACTATGTGGAAGAGAATATCCGTCTCTGCAAGCCGGAAACTATCCACATATGCGATGGCTCGGAGCGTGAAAATGAGCTGCTGACCTATATTCTACAGAAAGATGGCATTATCAAGAGATTGCCAAAATATACCAACTGGTGAGTACATCTCCCGTCGATTGTATTTGTTTTAAAATTGCACGACTGACAACATACTACCACCGTGGTTTAGCTTGAAACTGTGTTGTACTTAAGCCCACATTTCATCATGATTATGGTTTCCTTAGCCAATCAAATGCTTCACGTTGGGCTCGCTTCTTGGTGGTGAGATATGTACCTTGATAGATTATCAGAGTGGTTGGAAAGCTGGAGAGTTATAATTACATGCCAATTGTGATGATATTTACATCTTCCTTTATCTCTCCCAAGGTCTTTTGTCCTATTAATTAAATATAATCTGTCTAATTGCATCATGTTGAGATCGAAATGAATGCACTATCTGTGATAAATTATCTTTGTCACTTTTCATCAAAGTAAATTTTTAAAAATTCTATTGCCAGTTGGCTTGCGAGAACTGACCCTGCCGATGTTGCCAGGGTTGAGCGATTGACATACATCTCTACAGAAATTCAGCGTGACACTGTCCCAACCCCCAAATATGGCGCCAAGAGTCAGCTGGGCAATTGGATGGCCCCGGATGATATGGATAATGAACTCAACATGAGATTCCCCGATTGCATGAAAGGTATGTGAAAAGACAAAATTTAAAACAAATTTTTTAAAAATTAACAATATGAAAGTGCATTGAAAACATTCCATTTATTATAAAAGTACAATAAATACCTTTGTCTCTTCAGGTAGAACAATGTTTGTGATACCGTTCAGCATGGGCCCCATCGGCTCACCACTGTCCAAGATTGGTATCCAGCTCACAGATTCAGCTTATGTGGTGGCCAGCATGAGAATCATGACACGCATGGGCACTGCAGTACTTAAGGCCTTGAATGATAACAGTTTTGTCAAGTGCCTTCACTCGGTTGGCAGACCCCTTCCCTTAACTGGTATGTTATCTTGACCTGGGTTAATTTTTAACTGGTATGTTATCTTTAAAAAAAATTTTTTTTTTTTCATTTACAACCATAATTGGTAAAAATGTTTATTTTGGGCTATATTGAACTATAGATTTACCATATGCTATTTAAAACTCATGGCTCACCTTTCCATTTAATATTAGAAATATTTATATTTGACACTGTAATATCATTTCAGCACAAATCCACAATAACTGGCCATGCTACCCAAAGATGACCTTGGTTGCCCACCTGCCCCAAAGGAATGAGATTTGCTCATTTGGCAGTGGTTATGGCGGGAACTCTCTGCTGGGCAAGAAATGCTTTGCTCTTCGTATTGGTTCTATTTTGGGCAATCGTGAAGGCTGGCTGGCAGAACACATGCTGGTAAGTAATCATAGATATTTTAAATTTGTAATGTTACTAATAAAAAAAATGTTAAATGGCTAAAACTATTGCTATGCTGAAGAAAGGTGCCCGTCAAGTGTACTTAATAATGAATTATGGTTTTAAAATAATTAAAATTTAAAATAAACTAAATTTTAATTTTTTTTTCTATTGTCCAGATTTTAGGCATAGAAAATAAGACAACGGGCGACAAGCGCTACATTGCAGCTGCCTTCCCAAGTGCCTGTGGCAAGACCAATCTGGCGATGATGACTCCATCCCTCAGCAACTACAAGGTGACGTGTGTTGGTGACGACATTGCGTGGATGAGGTTTGACGACAAAGGAAGGCTTCGGGCCATCAACCCTGAAGCTGGGTTCTTTGGTGTCGCACCAGGTTTGTGATTGACTTGACACTCTTCCTTGTACTCATATAATAATGGAATGCTTTAGTTGTATTTGAAATTCAAATTATTCATATGCTTTATTGGAGTCAATTATTTTTAACTTTCCTATTCAAGTGTTAGTTTTAAATAAATTTCTCACCTGAAATTATGTACAGAACAAATATTGTTCCTCCATTATCTCATTAGCATGCAGTATCGTTCACAAGCAACCCTAAAGTTATTTACAAACTTTATAAAAAATTTTTTTTTAAATTTCAGGTACATCAACGAAGACTAACCCCATTGCCATGGAAACCATAAAAGCCAACACCATTTTCACCAATGTGGCAGAGACCAGTGATGGAGGTGTGTTCTGGGAAGGATTAGAAAAAGAAATAGACGGCAGTGTGAAAATTAAATCCTGGCTCGGGGACGAAGACTGGAAGAAAGAGGAATCTGATAGGAGCGCCGCCCACCCCAACTCCAGGTTTGTTTCAAAATACTGTCTTTGTATAAGCACTGTCTTTGTATAAGCACTGTCTTTGTATAAGCACTGTCTAGTAAGCACTGTCTTTGTATAAGCACTGTCTTTATATAAATATTTTCTAAATAAAAATACTGTCTTTATACAAATGTATATATTTTTTTGCAGATAGAATTATTTTCACACTTTGCTTGTTAACTAAGTTAAAATGAATGGAATTCAACTGTCTGTACTTGTCTTATTCATGGTTTTAAATATCATAAATGAATTTATTGACAGATTCTGCACCCCAGCCACACAGTGCCCCATCATGGACCCAGCCTGGGAAGATCCTCAAGGCGTTCCCATTGATGCCATCATTTTTGGTGGTCGCCGACCCACCGGCGTCCCCCTGGTGTACGAGGCTTTCAACTGGCAGCACGGTGTGTTTGTTGGGGCTTCGATGAGGTCCGAGTCAACGGCAGCTGCTGAGCACATTAGTAAGTACTTGAATTACCCGTTAGATGTTAGGCATTTTCTGTTTTTCTTTTTATACCATATATTTATTGATTGGATTGTATAGTTTTTTTAACAAGAATAAATAACTATTACATATATTTGTTTTGATCTGTAATGATTAATTAGATCCCAGTCACATAAATACAAATATTTTATAATATATATTTACAGCTAAACAGATAATGCATGATCCATTTGCGATGCGCCCTTTCTTCGGCTACAACTTCGGTGACTACCTAAAACATTGGTTGAGTTTTGGCCAGAGAGAAGGCTTGACACTGCCCAAAATTTTCCATGTCAACTGGTTCAGGAAGGGGCCCAACAATAACTTCCTGTGGCCAGGATTTGGGGAGAATGCCAGGGTCTTGGACTGGATTGTCCGAAGGTGTAACAATGAAGACATTGCCAAAAAGTCTGCCATCGGACTGGTCCCCAAGTTTGACTCTTTCAACCTGGAGGGCCTCGACGAACCTGTGGATCTTGATGAGCTCTTCAGCCTGCCCAGGGAATTCTGGGAGAACGAGGTCAATGCCATATACAAGTATTTTGACGAGCAGGTTAACGAAGACCTCCCAAAAGAAATAATGGCTGAGCTCCGCAGCTTGGAGCAGAGGATTCAGACGGAGCTGTAGTAAATTCACTCCAGATGTTTCTGTTTGTTACAAAGTTGGGTTGATATGGGTTGATAACTGTTGTTGATTCTTGTTGTTTCAAGAACTCTTTAGACTTGACAATTACACAAAATGAGATTAATTTTTATATATTTGTGAATGATAAAAAATGTAAATTTCAACATGATTTATCAATAAGTACATCCTACATTGTTCTGATTACTGTCACACCAAAGGTTTGGTTGACACGTGTTACATATCATATAACTACACATGAGGTGAACTGTTATCTCTGCACTTTTAAATACCAGTTTATCTGTCTATAAGCAGTGTGATTGTCAAACCATTCTAGTTATTTGTTGACACTTTAGACCTGTTAATCAAAGCTGTGATATGTTGTTATTCACCAGCAGCAGCTCTCACCAAGTAGATTAACTTTCTATATTTTCGAGTTTTACTTTTTACATGTGTTGAAGTCCTGCCCATAAAATCCTTTGCAAGAGATGTTGAAATGTTGTGAGATCTTCGTGGCTGATAGAGAACTGTTTGTATGCTTTGATTAATCCTATTACTCAATAGGCTCAGATGAATATGTTCTATTGGTTGAGATTACAAGTCTTTCTTATGAATGTTTAATTCATTTTCCATTCACAAGGGGGTTTTTTTTGTGTTCAAAATGAGGCTGACAATTTTTTTAAAATGCATAATTCCCTTACTTTGTTCACTTGGTGATCTTTGCGGTCAGCTCCACGCTAAAAGTGCGGGTGTAAAAAAATTGGCGTTCTTCACACAATGAATGGCATAGCAAAGGAGGACCTCCGCACGGTCAATGAAAAAGCCTTAAGAATTCAAAATGGCATTTGTGTGTGAGGATTGGCACTAAGAATTTAAAAATTTTATGCTTCGAAGATTTTATATAATCACTGCAATGCTTGCTAAAATGTCATTTGAACTCTTGATAACTTTAAATTTTAAATTGTGAAGTTAGAAATGACCACTAGACATTCATAGGAAATCCAAAATTGTGTCGTCTACTTCAATTTCATGCTCAATATTCAAATAGTGCTCTTTTGTGTCTCCAAGCACTGAACAGAGATGAGAGTCATCCTATTTTTAGCTGTTTTACAGTTTATATTAAACTACAACAGCTTATAGCGTACATTAATACATATAGATACTATAGCGTACATTAATACATATAGATACTATAAAGCTAATTATAGAAAGTGTTTTACTGATTCTGGATATTTTAATTTTTTTTTATGTAATTACCAGTACATAAGGTTGTGAATTTTCCATGAGCGCCAAAGTGTGACATTGCCAGCATAGGTATTCCATAACTTTGGGTGTGTTTACATTTGTCTCAAATGCCTTCACCTTGGGATGCTACAATTTGTGTTACATTGCTTTTTTTGTATAAATCTAATTTTACTTTTACAAAACTAACAGGTTTATCTTTGTGTCTATGACGTCATGCAGCTAAAAGGAATGGCTGCCATTTTTATTCAGTTTAATGTAAATACTTGTATATTTGTCTCATAGTTTAAAAAGTTGACCTTGTTGAGTATGGGTTATGGCACCTTGATTGAGTCTCAGATTATCGGTGCATTATGACTTATGGTGTCATGTATTTTTCTACTCTCTAAACCAAATTTGTTGGCTTGTAAATACAAAGATTTGTGTACATATACTTTTGAGGTCTATCACCTTGTTGCTAAGATACTTGAAATACGTAATGTTTATAGAGGGAATTTTACACATCAAATATTATTTTAATTTTTTAATAATGAAGAGAAAATAAAATATTAAAAAAATTCCTTTTTCTTAGTTTAAAAAAAAATAATTTATAGTATATGAGGGTGGGGGAAGGTGGTGCAGCACGGGGACAGGGTGGCTCCAGTGTGAGATTTTCAGTCTGACAATGAATAGATAAGCTCCTACCTTAACCAGGAGTAAAAATTGTCGAGACTGTGGAATGTGTGTTGGTCCAAATATGGCTCTCTTATGCTACTCATTGGTATGAATTTAACCAGATTGATCCAGTCTTATAGACTCTGTGTGGGGATCATCTGCTAGACCAAGGTATGATGTGTGGTAGCATCTGCTTGACAAATGCATGTGTGGTAGCATCTGTTGGACCAATGTATGATGTGTGGTGGTATCTGTTGGACCAAGGTATGAAGTGTGGTAGCTTCCATTGGACCAATGATTGATGTGTTGTAGCATCTGTTGGACCAATGCTTGATGTGTTGTTGCATCTGTTGGACCAATGTATGATTGTGGTAGCATCTGTTGGACCAATCTATGAAGTGTGGTAGCATCTGTTGGACTAATGAAAGAATCATGACACATTATCTTTGACCCATGAACAAGTGAATAAATTTTTAAAAAAAAATACGAATTTTCAAGCCTATGGACTATGGATTCAACAGCCTGTATAGACCTATGGATTCAACAGTCTGTTTAGACCTATGGATTCAACATCCTGTGTAGACCTAGTACTATGGATTCAACAGCCTGTATAGACCTGATCATATGGATTCAACAGCCTGTATAGACATGGTCCTATGGATTTAACAGCCTGTATAGACGTAGTCCTATGGATTCAACATCCTGTATAGACCTAGTCCTATGGATTCAACAGCCTGTATAGACCTAGACCTATGGACTCAACAGCCTGCATAGACCTAGTCCTATGGATTCAACAGTCTGTACAGACCTAGTCCTATGGATTCAACAGTCTGTACAGAGCTAGTCCTATGGATTCAACAGCCTGTACAGACCTGTGGATTCAACAGCCTGCATAGACCTAGTCCTATGGATTCAACAGTCTGTACAGACCTAGTCCTATGGATTCAACAGTCTGTACAGACCTAGTCCTATGGATTCAAGTACCGTTACAAAATGAAAGAACACTTTGAGACATTAAGACACACCCTCACCTCCAAAAAATGCTTTCTGTTTTTTTTAAGGGAACAAACCCTTGTTAAGACTAATTAATTAAAACAAGTTAAATAAAATGCACTTGAAATTGCGTAGGTCACAAAGCTTTCATTTCATCTCCAGATCGAGCGCCACCAAATCTAGGGTGACCAAACGTCTCTACGGTGACCATGTGCGGTGGCGAAATCAGCCAACCAAAAAAAAAAAGAGTACCTGGTGTCTGGTGTCCCGAAAAAGTCTCTCACTCTCGGGACGCCTAAATGTCCCGTTTCTAAAACCAAACACATTTTCAAATCACTCAAACTTCCTAATTTATAATATATAAATATAACTTCAATTAATATTTTGGCCAGCTGTGTAGCCAGTGCCAGTACTGATATGGGCTTGAGTACTGGCTGCACTGTCTCCCCCCCCCCTCCACCACTTTACCCTACGCTGCGTAAACGACAGTGTTCCTGCCATAGATCTCATACGTATACGTATACATCAATAAGTATTCACTACAAAATTATTGTTTTCGTTTACGTTATGCTTCAGAGTTTAAAACAAATAACAAAAGTGGAGGTACATTTAAAAAGACTTCCAGGTCTCAAAATAGTCTTAAACTTAAAGAGTTCAAATGAGCAGATTTCAAGCAACAGTTTCCGGCGGAGGCACCCCGGACCCGTCTTTAACTGGAGTGTATCCCCACCCTCCTCACCCCACCCAAACCCTTTTTGGGTGTGTCCCGTTTTGTCAAGTGCATGATTTGGTCACCCTGACCTAATCTGACATCTGACATAGGGCTAGTGGTGTTTCCAGAGGCAGACCCCTGGTACCGGCGTGAAACAGCGTAACCTTGGGCGTGGCCGTGGGACAGCGGATCACCATCCGAATCGAGCTGCTGGCTGCTGGGGCAAACCAATCAACGATCGCAATGGGCGGGTTTAGGGTTGTAGCCAGCTTTGACGTCGTGGGCGGGGTCAGGGAAGTAGCCATCTTTGACGTTATGGGCGGGGTCAGGGAAGTAGCCATCTTTGACGTTATGGGCGGGGTCAGGAGAGTAGCCGTCTTTGTCGTTATAGGCGGGGTCAGGGAAGTAGCCATCTTTGACGTTATGGGCGGGGTCAGGGAAGTAGCCAGCTTTGACGCTGGCGCCGAAGCCCGACACGACGTTCGGCTTGACTCGAGCTGATTGAAGGGGTGGGCGTGGTCGACGAGCTGATAGACGGGTGGATGTGGTTGATTTGGGGATGGGGGTGCAAAAGATCGGAGTCTGTAGGTTTGGTTTGTCCACACGTGTGTGTGGTTGTGTCATGTTTGTTCGAAGTGGACTCGGTTGACGACGGCAATGTGGCATTTGACGACTGGTTGTTGGTCGTCTCTTTAGAAGGTGCGGTAGATCGAGCGGTGGGAAGGACATAAGACATAATAAGGCATACATCTTTGGAGCAGAGTTGGGAGAAGTTGCTGGAATTTGCGGAGCTCTTTGACTCCGTGGAGTTTCAATATGATTATACAGCTTATTTCAAGCGACTATAGGGGCCAATCACAAATAACCTCACACATATATTGACAATTCTTTACCCCCCCACCCCCAAATCGTCACAAAAAGTTAGACCCCCCACCCCCCCCCCTTTCAAATATAAAGTCTGAACCACTGCACCCTCTTCTTATAAATAAATTAAAAAAATCTTTCTGTCCACTTGTGTCTTTTACAAACCCTTAAAAAACCCACCTCCCATTGATATCGAATAACTGCACCTGTGTCAGAGGTCTATTTCCCTAGAAAATTGATTCCTAAACAGATGGGAAAGCATGGCCAGAAGTACGGAAGAGCCAATAAATTATATTTTATGTATTTTGATTAGAAGCAAGAAGTGTTTTCATTTCTGGTGAATTGTGTGTCATCGCACTACGTCTTGAATTGGTCATTAAAAGCTATGTTTTAGAAAGTTAATTAGAGAAATAAATGTACAACTACAACAACTGAAATGTTACATTAAGAAATGGCGTCAGCGGGGCGAGTCTAGACTCTTATGCCCCCCCCCCCATTACCCCTCCCCGGTCCAACGTATCGGGCCGCGGAGCGGCACGTTGGAGATGCCCACTCGTCAGGACGGCCCCACACGGGCCCCTCACCCAAGTCCCTCTCCTGGGCGCCTGGGCACTCGACCAGGACCCCGCCTGGGGGCCGCCCCAGCCAGGAGGCACCCGGTCGATCCGACACTATGCGTTTAAACAGTGCACTCGATCGACTTTCTCAGGAGTTGGGATGGAAAAATTTACGTCCTAATATCTTCCCCCACCCATCCCGGGAAAGCGTCGGGCGCCCTATAAGAGGGATTCCACAGGGGGCTTCCACAACGCGACTAGTTCACGCTGTAGCTGGGACGAAACGGTTGCCTAGGGGCAGCGTTCTCACGGCTGCATTATTTGAATCCTCGGCCAGAGGTTACCACACTCGCCTCTGGCCTCATACCCGTCAACGGCAACTTGTAATCATGATCCCTACCCTGGCTCTGCCTAACTTTCCGACTGCGAAAAATCCCAACCAGCAGCCCGTGTGGGAGCTGCTTTATGTACGGCAGGTACCGAGCACACCCTTTGTCTGCCCACGTGGGGCGTGCCCAGTAGTTATGTTTCCCGGCACACGCCGAGGGGGTCGGTGGCCGACGCTTCCAAATCGGCAAGCCACAGCAGACTTGTCAACCGGAAGCCTGGAACAACTACAACAACTAAATTATTTAATTATTTTTCATTTTGAAGGTTTTTATAACAATTTAACGGAGAAAGACTTGAGGTGATGTACAAAGATCTGTAGAGACTTGAGGTGATGTACAAAGATCTGTAGAGACTTGAGGTGATGTACAAAGATCTGTAGAGACTTGAGGTGATGTACAAAGATCTGTAGAGACTTGAGGTGATGTACAAAGATCTGTAGAGACTTGAGGTGCTTTAGAATGATCTGTTACACTGTTGAGGCCTGAGTTCTGTAGTGACTTGAGGTGCTTTAGAAAGATCTTTAGAGACCTATGGTGCTGAAGAAAGATCTGTAGAGATTTGAGATGCTTTAGAATCATCTGTAGAAACCTGGGATGCTATTGAATGATAAGTAGAGAGCTGGGGTGCTGTAAAAAGATCTGTAGAGACTTAAGGTGTTGTAGAAAGAGCATTTGTCGATTCTGAAACTGACTCAACTATCTCATACAAGTCTTTCTCCCTAATCACGCTTTGCAAACTTTACCTTGCACTCAAAAAAGAGGCTAACAGGAAACCAGCATGGTAGGCCAGGCTTTTCATGTACTGAACAAAATGTAGACCAACACTACATTGACGGCTGTGTTTGCCTTTATCCATTCCAACATCTTGCTTAGCTAGATCTAAGCTCCTTTGATTAGCTAGATCTATACTGCTTTGATTAGCTGGATCTATAATCCTTTGATTAGCTAGATCTAAACTCCTTTGATTAACAAGATCTACACTCCTTTGATTAGCTGGATCTATAATCCTTTGATTAGCTAGATCTATACTCCATTGATTAGCTGGATCTATAATCCTTTGATTAGCACGATCTACACTCCTTTAATTAGCACGATCTACACTCCTTTGATTAGCTAGATCTACACTCCTTTGATTAGCAAGATCTACACTCCTTTGATTAGCAAGATCTACACTCCTTTGATTAGCAAGATCTACACTGCTTTGACTTAGCAAGATGTACACTCCTTTGATCTTTGATTTAGCAAGATCTACACTCCTTTGATTAACAAGATGTACACTCCTTTGATTTAGCAAGATCGACACTCCTTTGATTAGCAAGATGTACACTTCTTTGATTTAGCAAGATCTACACTCCTTTGATTAGCAAGATCTACACTCCTTTGACTTAGCAAGATCTACACTCCTTTGATTAGCAAGATCTACACTCCTTTGACTTAGCAAGATCTACACTCCTTTGATTA